TAAAACTTTGTCTTTTAAGTGTTCTGATTATTATTTAGATAATTTAATAGTTAAATTGTGGTTAATTTCATAGACTAATTGACTTGAAAATGTTAAAATAATTACAATTAATTTCAATTGAAAAGTTTGCTGTTTACCAGTAAATTTTTATCTATGGTCAATATAAGTAGCTAACTAACATGTCAAATAAATGTTCTTATCAATATTGGCAGTGCATGTTTAGTTATTTAACAAAAAGAAAATGAGATTATTTCATTTTTTAATTTTCAAGTAAAAAAATTGTTGTGTCTGTTAATAAAATAAATAATAAGTTATAGTTGTTTTCAATTATAGTATCTTAATTGTATTTTATTATTTATTGTTATTATTTGTTTGATTAACTTTGTATAGATTATGTTTACTATAATTTGATTTTGCACCCATATTGTTTTTAAAGCAATTTACTCGTGACCAAAAAACGAAAACAAGTATAAAACACAAATAAAATATAAACATTTTGTTTTTTGTTTAGCCTTTAAACAACCCATTTTTTTAAAAATAGAAAGTCTTTTATTTAGTTATCGATGTTTTTCATAACCCGATTATTTGCTCAGTTATCAACAAAATTATTATTTCATAAAAATAATGGTATTTTTTCAATTAAATTGCCACAAATTTTGTTTTTTTCTTGTTAATTTTGAAAACCAAAATTGTGCCGACCCATGAATATTATTTACATTATAAATTTTACCAAATTTCAAACTTTTTATTAATTACTAGTTTATTGTATTTGTTTGTCAAATAGACAATGTTTTACAATCAAACAACGTTTTAAACAGACTTAGATTATACAATGGTTATAAGATTATTGATCTATTTAATATCATTATATAAATCAAACCATTTACTAATCATAATCATACATATTATTATGACTTTTATAATTTGTTTTTGTTTTATATAATATTTATCAAAATTTAAGTATGTAATGTATTGATTTGCTTTTTAAAAAAAGTATTTATTTACTAAACAAAACAACATAAATTGAATAAAACCATCAACAAAACATAGTTAAAAAACAATATAATTAAAGGCGTCTATTTGTAGTGAGTCCAGAAGAAAAACATATCTATATGTCGAGAATAAGGAAATTTTGTGAAAATTTATTTTTAATAAAAAAATTAGTTATTAAATCAACAAAAGTTACAGATTCGAGAACAAAATATTTTATTGTTGTACACCCAAATAATTGGCCAATTGTGTGATAATTAAGCACCTTCGACAATTATAATTACAACAAATAGAAGCCTTTGACTGTAATTTTTATAATTGACATTTATTTTTTTATTTTAAAATATTATAATAATTTAATTCAAATTACAAATGAATTATTGGTAATATAGTATAATTCTAAACTGTTTTTCAAAAGTCGGTACTGTCATATTTTTAGAACTTCCTAAAGTCCCGTTTTTTATTTTTTATTTTTCCTAAAAAACAAAAAAAACAAAAAATCGAAAGTACAGACT